TATTTTCTGGTTTATTTTCTGTTTGTTTTGTATGACCAGATATAGGAATCAAAGAATGTGTTGTGTAAAGAATATGTCAGGAGTTAAAGATAAGAGGAATGAGTCAGAGATGTGGGCATCGCCTAGGGGATTTTTTGAACATTTTTATAATTCATTACATTTGGATTAAGAACTACAAAGATAACGGCTGTTCTTTGAATTTTTATCTGTAGTGAAATCATTCATGTGAATAAAGTAAAACAGAAAATAGTCCACGATCTATCACTTTGTTAAGATAAACGAATGGAATGAGAGTTCAGAGATGCACATTTGTAGGAAAAACAGGGTAGCCAGCAAGTGACCAGGTGGGATGTTGCAAGATGGGGATGATCTCAGCTATGGCAAACAGGAGACTAGCCCTAAATGAAGGGGATTATGAAAGCTATAATTAGCTAATGCTTCCTAAAAGCCTAACTAAACTGTTGGGTTTTTTCCATTCCAAAGTGCAATACTGTAGTGAGATCAAGTATCATGTAGTAAGCACAGAGAGAGAAACAAATCTTATAAACACGGTATCGTCTGCCATTACTTCAGGACAATCTTGTAAACTCTCCAAAACAGATACTTTTCCTTTAATGATGCTGTGATCGCTGAAGGACTGATTACTTATTATACTGGAATATAATAGGCATGTCGCAATGAATTGTCACCAATTTATGTTAATTTCATTTACATGCCCACAGGTGATGCTTCTTTAATCTCTAATCCATGCTGTAAATTCTGAAGACAGCAGATGGGTTGCTGAAGTCAATAGAATCCCTTCTCTCTTAAAAGCAAGCTTACTTTTCTCAGAAGTGGTTTCATTGCTGGTTTAGTTACTGTTTACAAGTATTCATGGTGTTAACATAATAACCTCATGAATTTCACTGAATTTTTTAGAGTTGGAAGGGACCATAGAGATCATCTAGTCCAACTCCCCTGCTGAAGCAAGACCACCCAGAGCTTGTCAGAGCGTGTTACTCAGGACGGCATCCAGGTGGGTCTGAAGGATGACTGTCTCTTCTACATTCATTTTATTCTCTGTCTCTAGAGAGTTTTTTAAGTGCACAAATATGCAACAGTTCAAGCCCTGATGGAGAATCAGAGAAATCACTCCTCTTGTAGAGGAGCAGCAAATGTGGCTTGGCCTTTGCTGTCCATCCCTGGGTAATAAAGGGAAGCACCGGAGAAGAAGCAGGACTACTAGCAATGCAAAGGCTTTTCAGGAGTGTTGGTTAAAGCCATCTTACAAAAGGAGAGGCAGTTTATATCATCTGCTCAAGACGCAGACATGCGTTGACTAAATAGGGAAATGCAGGTTTGATTCTTCCATCCTAGAACATCCAAAGAACATCTGGTAAACTAACTCTGTAACAAGATCAATTAATTTTTGAAAAAAGTTCATGGTTTCTCCAAAACTGAAATGTATGAGGGTTTAAAAACAGAGCACTGTTATTTAAAATAAAACTCCAACATTTGTGACAAAAACTGAACTGTGTCTATAAAGTGTACGAGAATCTTTGAAGTGTGAGCACTCCAACTGAAATCAAAAGAACTGGTTATACACTTAAAATTCTGTGTGTTGTCAAATTCTCTGCTAGGATGGGCTCGTGTTCTCGATGGCTTAGCTGGTCAGTAGCAGCCCTTTTCTCTCATTCTGGGGGCAGAGGAAGGTCTGAGACTCTCTTGCAAGCATCTTGTCACCCATGCCATAAATCTGTCACTCTGCCAGCGTATCAGTGGTCCATTGAACTCCTGTTTTCTTCCTCCTTGCATCAAACAAATAAAAGCTTTAGTTATTAGACCACGGAAGCAAATGACTCACTGAATATCTTAGTGACTGCCTGGTAACACCAAGTGGTAGTCTTTTTGAGTCAACGCTAAGAGTTATAATCTCTTTGGATGATAGGTCATAAGTATATCTTATGTGATGCATTAGGAGGTTTTCCCCACAGGGAACATGAATTGCCCACACTGAGACACTGGAACTACATTGTTGACTGTCAAAGGAGAGACATCAGTTTCCAATGCATCTTCTCTCTGAAAAACAGCAAAACTCTGGTAATACCAAATGACTCATGTTTAGCATCGCTTCTGCAATTGGGTTCTGTATATAACCACGACTGACTATTAAAATATAAACCTTTGGTGGAGAAACACTTTTGTATGTGACCTTGGGGCTTCCTGAAGCACAGCTTGAGGTGAGTATGTTCATATGAGGAGAAATTTCAACACCCATAACCTGCTTATTCAATTGTGCAATTAGAAAACACCTTGGCAGCAGGGTGAGAATCACAGAATCACAGAATCTTCTAGGTTGGAAGGGACCTTAAAGATCATCTTGTCCAACCGTCAACCTCACTGACAAAAATAGACACCCACACAACAAACAAGGAGCATCATCACTAAACCAGACCTCCCAGCACTACATCAACCCGTCTTTTGAACACCTCCAGGGATGGTGCCTCAACCACCTCCCTGGGCAGCCCATTCCAATGCCTGATAACCCTTTCCGTGAAAAAATTTTTCCTAATATCCAGCCTGAACCTCCCCTGGGGCAACTTGAGGCCATTTCCTCTCGTCCCATCACCTGTGACTTGAGAGAAGAGACCGACCCCCACCTCTCTACACCCTCCTTTCAGGTAGTTGTAGAGAGCCAGAAGGTCTCCCCTCAGCCTCCTTTTCTCCAGGCTGAATAACCCCAGCTCCCTCAGCCTCTCCTCATAAGACTTGTTCTCCAGACCCCTCACCAGCTTTGTCGCCCTTCTCTGGACCCGCTCCAGCACCTCAATGTCTTCCTTAGGCATTTCCACGTATGAAGGATTTTAAGAAGTCGTTCCTAAAAACAACCAATCCCTTGAGACAAAACAAATCTCCAGCAGGTCAGGAGTTGGTCCAGCACAGCCATGTGGTGTGCTCCTCTTGCCTCTGTGCAGCACAGAAGGGCACCGTGCCGCCGACCTGCGCATGCACAGCCACCTTGTACACATTGTCAAACGTATTTTGGTTATAAAAGTATGTGTGTCCTCTGTGTATGAAAATTTGCTGTCAGAAAATGAAGACATATCTACATTTAAAGACAGATTGGATTTGCCTTTACTGTTTAGTATATTCAAATGATAAAAAGATAAAAGGTTGAGGTAAGACATGTCATCCAGTTCTAGCCTTCTGAGGAATTAAAGATGTGTCTTGTACTTTACTCTTGCTTTGTCCAAGCTAATACTAAACATTACAGGTGAGAGAGGGAAAAGACATACGATGCATGACTGTAATGTTCCTCACATTATTTCTCCCTTTCCTTTACACAGTAGTAAAGTATGTAAGACTTGGCTGCTGAACGGGAAGACAAATCCTGAGTGCAGTAGCTTATGCTCCCTTCTTGATCAGAAATACCTAATTTTATTACATTTTATTAGGTTTTAGTCTCTGGAGTTTAATTGGGGAGTGATTAAACTGTTTTAAGTAAGGGCTTAATCGTGGCACATATTCTCCCGGTCCTGACAGAACATCATAACCTACAGCATCTCTGAATTTATAGCTAAACAAATGCTACTGGTCCTGGAACACACAGACGAAAATTGTTGGCTTGTTGCCCAACTGTGTGTGTAAGACCTAAAATTGAAACACTGGGTTCGCTGCCGCTGTCAAGAAAGGTATAGTGATGCAAGGTTAGAAAAATATTTTCCATGTCTAATGCCTTAAAATACTTTTGCTATAATTTCTGCAGAGAACTTCTGTAAAAGGCATGCAGCTAAAGCTGGGAAAACGCCCAGCCAGATGCACACAGAAGACTGAAGAGTGAAACAAGCTTTACAGACACTAATGTTTAGGGTTGCAGGCTGAGAAAAACTAACATAGATTTCAGTTTGCTGTGGATATGGCATCTGCTGTTCTTCCCACCCAGTGTACTACGTGCAGACCTCGCAGAACTCTGCACGAAACCAATGGAATAGATTGGTGATGCCGCGCAGTGGGGACACCCTGAACAGATCAGATTTCCCCCCTTCACTAAAGGCATCCCTGTAACAAGTAGGTAGCTGACATCCAGCATTTCTGGGGCTGTTTTGACCAATAAAAGAGTTTGCACTAATCACGTTACTCATCTTTAAAGCAGTCCTGTGAGACAGGGAGCACTGGCTTGGGACTGACACCCACAGATCCTCAGAGGAGACCAGTGTTACAGACAGGACTAGATTTAATGGCTTTTCATTTCTTGCCATACCCCTTTCACTATAGTTGTGCTCTCCTGGGGGTTCAGACTGGATATTAAGAACAATTTTTACACAGAGAGGGTTATTAAGCATTGGAACAAGTTGCCCAGGGAAGTGGTTGAGGCACCATCCCTGGAGGTATTTAAAAGATGGGTAGACATAGTGCTGAGAGACATGGTTTAGTAATGTTTTTGTCAGTGTTAGGCTGATGGTTGGACTAGGTGATATGAAAGATCCCTTCCAACTTAGGCAATTCTACAGTTTTGGGATTCTTTGATTCTATGAATTTGCTTTCTGGATAGCTGGGAAACCTTTGCTGTGGGAAGTTTGAGACATTGGCAGATAATGCTACATTATATGAACTGCTAGTATTGACTGGCTTGAGATTTCTTATAGGTATTTAGTCCTCATTTCTCCATTTCAGCCCAGCGTATTTCTTAAAGCTAACCAATAAGACCTACTAAGGAATTAGGTCAGTTACATTTTGTATATCCAGATTGTGCACTGGTGAACTGGTGCACCTTCATGTTCTCAGAGAATGCACCTCAGTGTGCATCCTGAACGCAAAGATTTCATTGATCTTAACTCATACCAAGGCAAAAACGTTGCTAAAGTCCAGAATGATGGTTTGACTGTGTAGAAAGGAGAGTTTCTTGAAATCACTAGAATTGAGGGAAAGATAACAATCCAGCACCAAGCAAATGTGAAGAGTCAAAGAGAATTATTTGTGTTTTCAGCTGCTTTCTACAGTCAAAATTGTGTTCCCCTACGATGACGGTGATGAGGATCTGTGCCTGTGACGTGTGACAGCGTGGGGAAGATACACAACCACCACTGCTGGGAGGGCCCAAGTCTGGGGTTCCAGTTCACACATGTGGCTACCAGCAGACAATACTTGTGTGCTCTGGGTTAGGGGTCCCACGCTAGGACATCACAGAGTTTCAGTATTGACTATTACTGAGCTTTTTATGGGTTGAAAATAAGCCATGGCCATTACTGTAGTGGCAGAAGCAGAAAATACCAGACACCTCTCAGTATCACTCCTTGGTATGATGCTGTTACTGCTTCCAAAAATGCCTGAAGTGCAACACAATCTAACAGTAGTCACTGTCTTCATTGCAAGCATGAAGCATCATTTCCTTATTTACCTCTAGCTTATCACACCAGGGCCCTTACTAGTCTTCTTTGCAGACAAGTTAGGAAGATGTGGAGTGTTTGTGCTAGAAAATATTCCGTCTTGTTTAGGAGGAACAGTTCCACTGTGACAAAAAGGCTTTACTAATAAAAAGCCTTCAATTTAAATATCCGAAAGGTAAGTATTAAATTGATACTTTTTACTGCTTCTATAGGTAGCACCGAAGCATTGTTAAGGTCAAGGGTCAAGAGCTTAGCTCTGAAAAGGTCTGAGTACTTTGGCTCCATACGTCAAACATATTTCTGTGCCTCAGCACTGCTGTGGGTGAGTGAGTGAGGTCAAGGAGATGACTACGAGGTCTGAATGGCAGAGTTTGATGGCCTCACATGAAGTAAGTCTAGCATCAGTCACCAGAATCAGTCGTGAAGTCTCGGCATCCACTCAGGACACCATAAGGAGGGATTCTTTTTCAAAATACATAATGCAAAAAATAGGCAACCGACACAATTATAGAGAATGGGGAGTAACACCACAGAGAAAGAAATTTGAAGAAAGAGAGGGAGGAACAAAAAGACACAGGAAGGCAGGAATGGAGGGAGAGAAAGGAGCACAATCTTTTGTGCTGGACAGACCACTGCAGTGAGCCATGGTGAACTATCACACCAACAGCATTTCAGTCAGTTGTACTGGCAACTTCAAAGAGCAGATGGGTTATAGAATTCATAGCCAAAGAGTGTAAGTGGTCATACTGGAGAAAGCTGAATATTGCAGAGGAGCCCATGGAGATGCATCAGTATAAATTCATAGAAATGAGAGAGACTGTAGAGGAAGGAGTCTGAGAATTTTGTCCATACGACTGTACCATACTACCAACTGCAAAATGAGGTGCTGCTCTATTACTGTATCCTCAGATAGATTTTTAAAGATTACATCTGAGGATCACTGCATATCATTCTTTTAGTCTGCATCTATAAGGTTTGTTTAAAAAAAAAATTGATATATTCTTAATTTCTTAAACTTTTCTTAACATTTCCAGCCAATATTGTTTCTTAGTTATTGAAGGCTTTTTATTATGCATTTTTCCCCTCTCTTCTGGTAGTACCTGCTCTTCAATATGTGTCGATGGAATTTGTGTATTTGACAAGCGTAGGGTTCTTTATACTGATTCCTTTTTAATTGCTTACTCTTTACACTTGATATACAGATATAAATGGTTATACTTCCAAACATCAAGTTATCCTTTTATGACCCACAGATGATGCTTTCAAAGTTGTTTTGTGGTCTCAGAGTGAAATCTTGACTCCATTAAAGTGAAGAGAAGCACAGGTGTTGATAGAAATGGGATGCTGTGCTCTGACCTTTCAAAGTGCCCAAAGGGTAAGGGTTCATAAGGAATTACTTTCCCAGGGCTTTGGGAGATGGGCATCCTAAGGGATTTCTGGAAGATGATTAAGAGCTGAAAATTCCTCTGCCTGCACAGGGCATATTTCAAGGGCTGGAAACACATCCAATGATTTTCTTATAAAATTCTCTTTTAGGAGGATGTGTCTCACTGGAAAATATGTCTGAAGTATTTCTGATTTGCTGCATCACTCGCTATGTGACATACATCATCGGGATGTCTTTTGTAAAGCTCTCATGAACTCCTCTAGCCTCGTCTTAGCATTTCTGTGGTCTGGTTAGGATTGTTCCCAGGTAGACGTTAATGCCAGAGTATCATGCAAAATGAAGGTCATACATAAAACTCTACCTTGATAGGAGAGAGTTGCCAAACTGCTGGAATTTCCGAACAGACACGTCCAGAGCTTATAAAAGCAGACAGTATAGGTCAGATTCTCATACTTGGATTATTTCAAGTCAGACTGTGCCAGTGTGTATAAAAGTAGACAGCCCAGCTCAGATTTGGATTTCAGTGTGAATGCCATACAAGCAAATCCCTATGGGAAAAAGTCATCTTCCTGCAGAGTTTATCAGTTTAATTTTTCAGATCTGGAAGATATGTCTTAAACAGTCAGTATATTTTTGTTGTGTCAGAGCTGTGTGTGATATTTAATCACTTTTTAATTTTTTTATTTATTTTTTTGTTATTGATACTCTATTAAGTCTATGCCCATTTTAATAGAATACCACAAGGAAAACTTGTTTACCTTTCCATTCCTTTTGCTAAATCTGAAGTCTGGCTTCTTGATTCCATGTTTATTGTATCTCAGGGACTGAATATTAAGGTCTAATGTAGGTTCTGAACAACAACAGGAGAATGATGGGATTTTGCAAGCAAAGTCCTAGAGTCTGAACTGCAGACTGCTGAGCTATACACCTTCTGAAATGAAAAGATGCATCAAAAATCTGCCTGATGTTTGTCTAGGTATGCTACATTCTGCTTTTCGTAAAATAACATAAACGTAGCTGAAGAACTCATCGTGTATAAAACCAACAAAAACTGACTGAATACGCTTCTCTTTTTCCTTTGGCAGATCTTCCAACGTGGATCTGGCCGTCAATGGGGGTTTCCATTCATGCCTGCAATGTTTTCCGTTCCGTGGCATCTCAGTGAAGTGGAAGGCAGATGACAATTTGGCTTTTTGGCCACCATGGCATCCCTCAATCAAAAGCACTGGGGGACATGCCTTTCTTGCACTGCCTGGCACGCGGCGTGCAATATGTCAAAACACGTTGCTTGCCCCTTCCACATTATGTATTATCAGATTCCTTTCTGTTGTATTGTTTTCTTCCACAAGCTATTAAATAGAGTGGAAGAAACTTTATATTTAGATTGGCCGGGGGCATTGAGTAAATTCTTTTGCTCATTTAACAATGTCCTCATTGTGGGCATGTTCTGTGCTCCGGTAAAGCCCTTTGCATGAAATCACCCCTGGGAAATAGCCCAGAGCACAGTGGAACCTGGAAAGCTTTAGCTTCCAACAGGAGAATTCTTGAATTACATCCTGCTGGCGTATTTACTTCTGTGTGTCCCCTTACAGTCAGCCATTCCTAGCTGTCACACTGGCCTCTGGAGACGGCTGGAAGTTGGCGTGCTGAGGTGGAGCAGCACTTTGGTTGTTCTACTTATGTCAAGGTATTGACCAAGCCAGTTTTGGCTGGCAGAGCCCAAAGCTGCTGTAAGTCACTTTTCCATGCATCATTTGTCTGTACATGCTTCGGGTGCTCTGGGTAAAGCCATGGCTCTGAGCCATTTTCCAGACTCCTCTTATTCCTGCTTTCCATTCTCAAAAAAAAGTATTTATAATTGCAGGTAAGGTATTTTCGTAAGGGAGATGAGCATGATTATGCCTTTTGTGTGTTTAGCAGAAGCAAATACTGCACCTCAACTGCAAGTCCAAGAGAGAGTGTCCCATAGCTATAGCATGTTCATTAGTGCTGGTCCCTCTCTTTTGATCTTTCATTCAGGTGACAAATGTATAAAACCCTCTTTTGGATGAAGGGTATGTTATGGGTTAGGTATGCAACATGACCACCATGTTTTATTCATTCTGCTGAGCTTTTGAAGTCAACTGTTGTCACCGGGTGTGCCCAGCTGTGATCCTGTGACTGGGTACCAGTTTCAGACAAAAGCGTGTCTGCCATTACTGTGGAGGCTAAAACTTCTCACTTTCTGTCTCATTCCATACCATCACATTTCTCTCTTCAGTTCCAGGCGTGTGTGAGGCGTGTACTTGTCTGCTTGACACGGGTGGTTTTATGACTGTGACAGAGAAGGAGTTCACCACGAAAACTCCTGGTTTACATCCCCTGGGTTCAGATTATACTGCTTGTTGATGCTTTGTTTTCACAGATACAGCAGTGGTAGGAAGCTGTCTGGCAGGTACCTTTCAAAGCTGAAACATCAGATGTGTTCTTTAATGACATCACTTTCCATACTATGTCACTTGCTTTTCCTTATGTCCTTACATTACATGTGTCGCGTTGTTGGATCATCCTAACAGGACAGTCTGAGAGAAGCCAGATTTAGTATTTATTCAGCCTGCACTTCACCTCACAATCTCCACTGGACACTCAGTGGAGACAAAATCAGACAAAATCAGAACACTATGAACAAATGCACAGCTTTCCTTCTGCAAATAAAATCACAGATAATTACTTTACGAATGCTTTTTAGCCCCAGCCATTAATGATGCTGCTGAAATCTGCCATTCGCTTTGGTGAGTTTGAGTCATTTGCCCTGTTTTCCCCTTACCTTTCCTTCCTTTCCCTAATTTCTCAAACTTTATCTTTCCGATGAGACAGCTGTCAACTTGCTGTGTCTTCCAGTGCTACCAACTGAGTATTGCTGCATGAAGTTATGATGTTCCTGAGAAAGCATGACCTGATTTAAGCATAGACTAAAGAGGGCTGTATGGGATTCCCCGCTGTTTTTCAGTCTTCTTGCCCATTCTAACAATTTCAGCCAGGATTTTTTAAAGCATGTAAGAGATGTAGGATGGCTTTTGTGAATGCCATCCTTAAAAATGTTGTAGCTCAGTTCTCCACCTGAACAACGGGTATTGCCTCATTTCCTTTCAGAAGATATTGTGAAGATGATTAGTGGCATGCTGTGGTGCTGTGGGTGAAGGTATTGCAGCTGGATTCGCAGAACTCCTGAATTTTTTCATGGATTATACAGGCTGATCTTGTTATGCTCATGGCTTTGCTATTTCAGGTGGCTGTTGCCTTTCTAAACATGTCAGAGGTTTAGAAAATAGAAATTAATCATTGCAATGCAGCTGTGAATGCACTAGGTAACACTGGTCTTTTTCAATGTTTGAAACTTTGGCCTTCTCCACAACAGAAGAATTTACTTCCTAGAGAAAGCAATGTTATGCAAGTTAGATGATGCTGAACTTCTGAGCCAACACCATAAGAAAGGGATAAATGCAAAGGTAGGTCCTAAGGGATGCCAAAACTAATTTTATTGTGATTATCTCCTAGTGCAGATACAGCTGCTACATTTGCTTTTCGCTCTACCTTTGATGATGAAAGCAAGAGGAAGAGAATACCACCACTGCAAATTCAGTGGGACGTTGTGCTGTGACTCAGCGCCTGGGGCTGACTCCAAGTACCTACAACAGCACGATGTTGATCCTACCACTTGTCGCTTACGCATAAGCCAGTGCCTTGGAGCTGCAACAGGCAAAAGCTGTGGGTTTTCCAGTGAGGACCAGCTCACTGGAAAGCTAAAATACAAAGACCTTTGCTCTAGCCATGGAGCTCCCTCATAGAGAAGATGGTGTAAATTCTCACGTAGAGCAATTAATTGAAACACCGGAGAAAGAACTGACTTACACCTTTTTGTCTAATACAAATCATGTCCCTTGCCTCCACCGATGGGTCCAATAAGCATTCCTTGTACGTATAAAGTTGATTAAAAGTCTCTCTGAGCCGTCAATAAACTAGCCCACTAAAGCTGTCTGTTTATATGGACAGAAAATGCTCCAATTAGAATTTCATGAGCTCACAAATGCTTCTCTCTAGGAAGATGAGGTAGAAACCATTTCAAAAGGATTAATGTCTAAGCTTTCTGAATTAAAATTGCAACAGGTGTCACTTTTACATGCCTGTCCTTGCAACAAATGTGGCATTATCCATTTGATTGACGACTGAATAAAAGATTGTATTTTCTTGTTTCAGAGTTCTCTTTTGAAAGTGAAAAGATGTCTTTTTCCATTCCATTGCACCTAAATCACCTCCTAGTATTTTTTGTTATTGAATTGTGGCTCAGGAAGATATGAGGAACTACATTTTGTGAAGGACACTTTGATAATGATCACACCTTTGTATCTTTAAAGCTGGTACAAGGAACATTTCTTTTGATATTGTACAAGTTTCTAAGGTTTAGTGAGTTTCAATCTGACATATCTTCTCTAGGTAAAGGTACTATATAAATCTCTGTGTAAATCTTCTCCGACGCAGCTTACTAAGTGAGAGGTTTTGTCCTACCTTTCTCTCAAAGGGGTATTGTCTACTTATGATTAACCTCAGAGCAAGAAGAAGTTACTAAAGTTCAAAGAAATCGTAGTTACCTTAAACAAAGTCCGTATTTTGTTATTTATTAGCCTAGCTATATAGGTAAGCTAGAAGGGGAACGTCCATCTTCCAGCTATTTTGGGACATGAAATATGACCGAATTAATCTCTGTATATTGCAGTTTCTCAACCTTTTCCCGGATGCAAAGGGTCTATAACCTCTCAAAGCTGCAGATTTATTTCTATGCTACTTTCCAGTGCTGGTAGGTACAAGGAGCATTTGAGCTAGTTCACCGAAACTATGTTGGAAATCTCCAGGGTTCGTGATGCTTCCTGGCTGACTCCCAAATATTTAGCTGGGGATATTATTTAGCTTGAGGTATGTAGTTTGAGGCAGTATTTAGCTCGAGGTAGGTAGATACAGTTGCAGCAGTGACAACATGGACTGACAAAGCCAAGGGGGACCGCTGCAGAGCTGGCATTTGAAAGAAAAGCTTTGAGCATTCGACATAGATGTTGCGAGACGAAGCCAACTAACACAGCCATACCACTCACTAACTCTCCATCATCTGAAAAACAGCTACTCTCCTGACCAAAATACCGACTGCTAAGGTGCCTAGCATGAGAAACACATTTGGTGTAAATCTCCCTGCACAAAGGAGAATCAACCAGACAACCTCAAACACAAATTTCGACTGAACGGCCAGGAATGGCCTCATGTGGGGCCAGCTTTGTGTAGCAGCATGGGTTTGCAGGCTAGGGAGGCTTCCTTTGAGGTAGATAAATGCCTTTCCGAGCTGGTGGAGGGGAGTGTTTGTGAGAGCAGGGAAGCTGGAGCTCTGGAGCCTGCCTGTCCTGGGAGCTCACCCAAAAAACCACCCCGGGGGCGGACTTCACGCCTGCGGCGCTGCCCGCAGAGGGGGGGCTCCGGGCCAGGCCGGGGTGATGCCTTCCCTTCTGGCTGCCTCCCTCTGCCTCTCCAGCAGCTTTGCCTTCCACCCAGCAGCTCCTCCACCAGAGCCCCAGCTCCATTTCCCTCTCCAGGGTTGCGGGGGGGGACTCCACGGGTTGCTCCCACCGCTTCAGCCCCAGCTCAATCGCAGCCCCCTCTTTCCCACTCCTGGGGCAGGGAAGGCTGAGGGAGGGGGGATGAAGGGAGGGGAGCTGAGAGATCCTGCTGGCATCCCTCTGCCTCCTCCGGGGAAGGGGGGATGGGGGGAGAAAATGGCTCTACCCACCCCCCACATCATCCTCCCACCGCCCCCCCGACAGCATCGCCGCCCTCCCCCTCCCCACCCCTCCG